ATTATTATTATTATTATTATTATTATTATTATTATTAGTATTACTCTTATTACTATTACTGTTATTACTATTACAGTTACTACTATTATTACTATTACTATTATTATTGTTACTACTATTATTACTGTTATTACTACTATTACTGTTATTACTATTATTACTCTTATTATTATTACTCTTATTATTATTATTATTATTATTATTATTATTATTATTATTATTATTATTATTATTATGCCTTTTACTGTCGCAAAGAGGGATCTCTACCCCTGAACTTCCAAGGTCGAAAGTCGAAACATCCCACGAAAAACCGTGACAACAAAAACCCAGAAGAGAACTCCTCACAAACAGTGAATCTTCTTCCATGCGAACAACCAAATACAGTAATGTAATATTTCTGAGAATTTGAAAAAGATTCCTATATGGAACCAAACACAGTAATGTATTATTCCTAGAAATTATATTACCCTCCGTCACTTTCCTGGGAATATGATTCCTACTGATTCCCGCATACCAAACGCCCCCCAAAAATTCTCAACCAAACATTGAAACATTGTGTGCCAAATAATGTGCCTTCAGTATTTTCTGTGTCTAATTAAATTACAGATTAGAAATGTATCACGTCCATGGACACAATTATACATTCAATACTTTTTTTTTTTTTTTTTTGGTTGCATTCATTGGGTTTTCTTTGAAATAAAATAAATTTTAATCGTCAAAACCTAAAACAAAACTGGATCTGTGTTAAATACAACCACTAACGATGGCCTATTGGAAAACCATCTCTTGTATTACCTTAAACAATAAACTTGGCTCACAATGACATGTGTTAGTTTCATAAATTCAAACTACTTTTCAAATCTATGAACCAAATGGACTCAATTACTTCAACAAACAATTTAAACCATTTGGTTTATAATGTGGCACTCGTGAAATCACCTGAAAAATAACTACGAGCCTTAAACGAGGAAGTGATGAAATCTCTTAAGGCGCCTGACCATGCCACTTAAATCCGGCAATACTCTTTTTTAGGGGGGAAAAAAAAAACAAAACAAACAAAACTACATTATTACAAAAAGGCACTCTTTGCCAAGAAGTAGAAACCCAATTCCAAAAAGGCACTCTTTTCTTTTATTTTTTTATTAAAGGAAAAAGCAGCGAAGATAAATTAGTTAGATCGCCAAAGGAAATGCATATAAACAATTTATACATTGTAGAATAGATGTATAACAACGGGGCAAAAACAGCTGACTTCTTCTATCGTTTGCACGTTTGTCTGCTTCTTGTGGACTTGCACTTCAGTCATCGTCTTTGAACTCTCTGTCAAAAACAAAATGCACATTCACGTCAACCATATAGTAAAAAAAGTTTGGAGTTCCAAGTTTCTGCAGCCTCACTCTCTCTCTAGGATCTATAGCTGACACATCTACTGTGATCACTCTTACAAGGTGATTTTATGAACAAAAGCTAAATGCTGTTCAAAGAAACTGAGTTGCAATGACAAATGCCTAACAAGTACAAAATCTATGGTTACTCTAGTTATCTTCGTTAGAAGGTACTCTACATTTTCATTGCTGATTAATCATGCCTCCAATCACGGCATAACCGAAACATCTAACCAAAATGATCATCGTACAAAGAAAAATTAGCAACAATTGCTTCAGTTTTTTTCTTTTTCTCCTTTTGGTTGTAGGAGAACGATAAAATCAGAAATTACATACCTCCGATCAAGGTATCGTGGTTGAATTCCAGAACCTTGACATGTCGTGCATGTCAAAGAACCAACGCCATCGCAGTTGATGCAGCGAGAGACCTCCTTCTCATCACCATCGAGTTCTACTGTAATATTGCCAGTTCCCATGCAAAATCTGCATCTCTCTGGTAGAGTGTAATCAATTTTCACGAGCAATTGTTAGACACAATCAATAGTCAGAAAAGGCAAAATATCATAAACAAACATATGACAGAGGTTATTGGTGTTAACCAGAAGTTTTGCATCAAATTTGAATATGTAAATTGAATAACTATGCTCCCCCTTCATAGACTGGCTTAGATTCTTCTTCTTGTTTTCCCTTTTTCTTTAGCTAAACAGGACAACTAGATTTCTAGTTTGCAAAAAGACTTTTGGAAGTTACTATATATGTAGACATTATTAACTTATCTAACATGTTGGAATGCCAAATTACATACAATTGAACCGCGTACTGAAAGCCTAATACTATTTTAACGGTTTTTACAATTAGCAAGTCTAAGTAGCCTGTTAAGTGTGTGGAGCGCAATTATCGCCCCGATAGGTGAAATTTTGCAACAGCTCAAAATGGACGTAGCTTTCAAACTTATAAATCTTTTTTGTGAATTCTTATCTTTCTTCCCTTTTGTTGCCCTCGTTAGTAAAAAATTAGGACACTAAGAATTAATTAAGCAATTGTAGAATGAGATGTTAATTTACAAAACTATTACTATTTCCAGAGATAATTAGCAGTCACCTCATAACTGATTAGGTTTCACACTAATGACTAATGAGTATTTTCCGGGATACCATAAATGACTTGAATTTTGCGCTGGGAAAACAATAGTACATTACACAAGGACTGTACGCAAATGAGGGGGGGGAAAAACTATAGCAAATATTCTGCGATAATAACAATCAACAAAAGGAGAAGAAAACATTACGTGCGCCTGATCCACTGCATGGGAAGCAGGGCTGAGTGTTCTCCCGCTTCGCCTGCACCATTGTTAAGCCTCATTCTTAAACTTCAGCACTTAAAAGTCAAGCCCTTTAAGAAATAAATAAGACGGAGGAAGGAAAAACAAAAACAAACAAAAAAAATAAACAAAAAATAAACGGAAAGGAAAATATACTCACAGCATTATCAATTTGGGTTTCGTAGAAGACAGGGATGCCAATACCAACTGCAACACTAACGAGCCCAACTGATATTGCCACTACCTGTGTAAACCCCAATTTTCTAAATTACGAATTCTTAAAGAATGTATATGGCGAGAGAGAGAGCGAGAAAAAGAGTGAGAAGAATAACCGTGTTTTGATCAAGATCTGCTCTAATGGACGGATAAGACGACGGTGAACGCTGATTTCTTCCAAACTTTTTGGAATGACATAAAGAAGAAGAAGAAGAAGAGGAATTAGTGGTGGAAAGCTTTAGTGGGCAAGAGAGAAATGGAGAGTGTAAGCGGGGAAGTGAGGGAGCTATTGACATTTTTTTTATTTTTTATTTTTATTTTTATTTATAATTAAGGTAAGTTGATTAGACGTTGTTTTAGTGGTGAGGTTTCAAGAAGAAGAGGGAAGGTGAAGGACAAAGAAGAATCCCGTTCAGAAGGCGAGAGATAAGCATTTCACTGAAGAAAAACCACCGAAAAAGATTGGAAGCAGAGGAGAGTTGGGGATTTGGATATGTCGTGTGTGGGGTCGGCTCGACCCTCGGAGTTTCTAGCAACCAGACAGTTGGACGACTTTTGTCTACCACAAAACATAACAGTTTGTCTTCCACGTGGATCATAAGTGGGCTCTTTGGACTGTAGGCCTAGGCCCAGTATTCTAAGTCTCCAGCCCATCTATCTCGAATGGGCTTGATGGCCCAAGTAAAGAGAGAATTTACCAAAATTGAATTCAAGTATCTATCTTATGGAATCATAATACAATAAACTTTGCATTTTAAGAATATTGAAGTTATCCCTTTTTTTTTTTTTTTCAATCACTTCTAATTTTAAATTTAGTAAAAATTAACTATGTGAAAAAAGATATTTTTGTTTGCATAAAATAAGTTATGTTTAATATTAAGGACAACTTTGTTGAGCATATCATAATTATTGAGTTAAAGAAAAATCAAATTTGATTATTCTCAAATGTCAGAAAAATTTAAGACCAATTTTATTAATGTTTTTGTAGTTTTTTCTCCTAGCACCATGACTTCATTTTTGGAGGGTATAGATGACATTTCCCTTAACTAATTTGTTCTTGTTGATGGGTTATAATGACATTTCACATAACTAATATAGAATAAATTTGACGTCAAAAGTGAATTTTATGTGATTAAAAATATAGCGGTTAATCTTAACTTTTTTAAAAATATATATACGATGGATTTTCACATTTTAATAAACATAATGACTTGTTTTTTTTTTTGTTATCTCTTTTTTATTTGGAAGATCTATATCTAAGATAATAGAAAAAACAAACAAACAAACAAACTTGAATCTCATGCCTATCTTCCCGAAGCATAGTTGTGCATTCAATTAGTCTAAAACTATGGGGGGAAAATGGATCATCCAAAGCCCTTGCAGTGGAGGTTGTGTGAATGCATCTCAATAGCACGCTTGCCATATTCTGTAATTATTGTGGCATCAAGACTCGGTAACATTTTGCCACTCACATTGATATATGATCACAGTTCATTAATTTTCATCTTTGTAAAGTTTTGCGTACTTTAAATTATATTATATCGCATAAGGAGTTTTTCTTGTATCTTAGCGCATTTTCTTATAAATTGGTTTTTGTTCTGGTTTTTCTTAATTGTTTGTTTCCTTCTTTAATATTAAGTTTTACAAATACGATTTGTTGAGAAAGCTACTGGATAACAAAGAGCTAACAACCTTCATTTTGTGCTGATAAAGAGCTAACTACTACTTTATATTGCTTAGACTTACTCTAGAATCCACTACCACTGTTGATTGAAATTGAGCCCAAATGGTCTCTTTACGCATTGAATTGTTTAAACAGAATGAAAGTTCAACAGATTTAGACAGTTGGATAATCAATATTTTTCTGAATCATGATATGCTGTTATTCTTCAAAAATGGCAAGAGTTTTAATCCCAAGTTAGAGACTATTATGATTGTTATGAAAACAAGCAATCGATTACTTACTCCACCACCAATAAATCTGTGTTTTCAGTGAAATATTCAATTTCACCTAACCAAAACATGTCCAACGGTCCTTGTCCTTGACAAGGGCTGTTCATAAACCCGAACAACCCGCAAACCCAACCCATCCCGCCCCAACCCAAGCCGAAAAAAGCAACCCGCAGCATTATTTTTAAATTTGCGGCTCATTAAACCTCTGGCCCGAAGTGTTTGGGGCGGATTGCGGGTTGGGCCCATAACAACCCGCAATCCCCAATCCAACCCGCACAACATACCCCTAAGCTTTTGGCCCAAGCCGAACTGCCTAAGTTCTACCCTAGGCTCACTAACATTAGGGTTCACAATCTCATTCTCGGTCTCCCCTCTCGTGAACCCCCTCTTCTTGCCTCTTCCTTTTCAGTTTTCCCTCTTCTTCCCCTCCCGTGAACCCCCTCATTACTCAGTCCTCTCGGCCGCCGTCTTGCCCACTTACTCCGGTGCTCTCTCGCCGGACTGATAAGGATGGTTACTATTTCTATTTAATGATGAAGTTTGAATATTATATTGAACTTTAAGTCTTTAATTTTTTGAATGTTGAAACCGACCACCCAACCCACCCCGCACCGCCCCAACCCAACCCAACCCGAACAACGTTGGGTTGTGAAATTTTTCTAACATCGTTAGGGCCAAATATGTGCAACCCGCACTCTTTGGGACGGGGAAAAAAAAATCCTACCCCGCACCAACCCAACCCATGAACAACCCTAGTCCTTGTAATCAATACTAGACCTTTCTGGGATTGGCACCCATACCCATTCGTAATATGTGTGTATATATATAGACATTTTTAATAAAAAAAATATTTACAAAAAGAGAAATAATAATAGACCCATAACCAAAAGTAGGGGAGAATTTTTATTTGGAGTGCTGATACAAAAGAACTAAACGAAGATTTGCTAACGTAAATGAGCGTATCAGGTGAATTAATTTGTATGATAGGGACTTGTTGTAGATTTAAAATAATATAAAGATATAGAAACATGAAATGTGACATAATTGACAGCATAACGGTCAAGAACTCGTGACAATGAGAAATCCTCTTCTTAAATCTTTTCTGCTACATTCAGATATATATATATATATATATAGAAGAAAAAAAAAAAAGGAATAAGAAAGTAAAACAAATAGATTATAACTACAACTTCAATAATAGAGAGGGTAATAGAGTAGCTCAAATAAAATAGCAGTGGCTCATTATTTTGTCTTCAAATAGTTCCAGCAAAATTATTTAGAATTTAGTACTATATGCTATCCAGCAAAATAAAATAGTAGTGTCTTAAACACTAATTTCCCAAACAGCCTGTTTAATCAACTTTGTGAGTGTTAATTAGCAGCCGGAGCCCCCCTTTAGTGAGGGATTATACCAAATGCATTTATTACCACCGAAATTCTTATCCCAACGGCTAGTTTTTTCGTTTCATAAGTAGTCATTAGTCACAGAAAAAGCAAAAATAAATAAAGTTGACAGTTAATACACACGATGGTTAAGGAAAAGCAAAACAAGAAGCTGTTCAAGAATCAAAGGTTGAGAAAGGTGTTGGGCATTTTGGCTAGTGGATGGGGTAAAGACGTTGAGAGGGACATCCCAACAAACCGATATAATTAACAAGCACATGACCTAATGCCGTGTGTGGGTGCGGGACTGGGGACGCTTTTGTAACTGTAAGTCCAGAATGAAAATGTCCACAACATCGATATTTTCACGACATTGTCTATATTTTAAAGTTTTAACATGGATATAAAGGAAATTTATTTTTCCAACACATGTCCGTAAAATGTCCGTAATATTTAAAAAAATCCGTAAAATTCGTAAATATCCGTAAACATCTCGAATATTTTTAGAAATGTTCAAAAACATTGGAAATTTTTTTTTAATAAAAATTAATTTTGTAGCACATTTTTTCAATAAAATATGACAACATTGTTTAAATAAAAAGTAAATATTAAGACTTAATTAGTATTTTAAAAAATTAATACTTTTTAAATAAACTATTTGTAAAAAGACGTAGTTTGACTCAATTGAGTCAAACTAATGAGGATTCAGTGGCCTTGAATTTTGATTACATTAGCTTAAGAACTGAGTAAAGTTCATATGACTATCCATACAGTTCTCACATGGGATCTACTTCAACATTACAAAACCAATATGGTTTGTATGATATATTAGTATATCCTCCACCATAGATCAGTGTTGAATGTCATTACCCATCCCTAAAGTCATCAAGTTTGATAAACCAACAACATCCAATTTATGGGTTAACAATGGGAATGTATCAAGAAACATACATGTGGCACATCAACAACTACATCCAAAATTATTCAAGGGTATAATATCTTGACAAATGTATTGTTAAGATCAAGATTAGAACATACTTAATGCTTTCCAACCTGCAAGAAACTCGTTTTTGCACTGAAAACACTTTAATTTCATGTGTACTCTATTATGTTTTGTAGTTAATTTCTATGTAGTAGGTTGAATTATTGTTCCTTGTTTATAATGAGTATGTAAAATTATATTTGAATCATAATGTACATATAATTATGATAAATTCTTACTATACTAATCAACATAACTCTCATATTCCAATAGAAAACGTATTATTTTTGTTATTAAATTAGTTCAAATTAAGTAATATTGATTGTTTTAGCATTTTGTACAATTTTAACAAAAACTTCTAAGGTTTTCTCGACGCATCCATTTTTTCTCCAAATATCCATCGACATCGACATTTCTGTTGACAATATCCGTAAATCAAAACCTCGACAACCCCATTGACATCGACTTTTTCATCCTTGCATGATATATTATTATTTTAATAAAAAATGAGATTGTAGAGTCTACATGTCAAACAGTGAATGCAAAAAATTGACCAAAAAAGTGACAGAAAAAGTGACACTATTATTTCTCATACCATTGTTTACTCTTTATTTTTCACCACCATACTGATTCAATTTGTGAGGGAGGGATATCAGTCACTTATAGCAAGGACACAAATGTCGATGTCGACGGGTTGTCATGGTTTTGATTTACGGAAAATGTCAATGAAAATGTCGATGTCGACGGATATTTGAAGCAAAAATGGTTACATCGACAAAACCTTATAAGTTTTTATTAAAATTGTACAAAATGCTAAAACAATCAATATTACTTAATTTGAATTAATTTAATGACGAAAATAATACGTTCTCTATTGGAATATTAGAGTTATGTCGAATAGTATAGTAAGAAATTATCATAATTATATATGGATTATGATTCAAATAAAATTTGCACACTCATTATAAACAAGGAACAATAATTCAACCTACTACATAGAAATTAACTACCAAACATAATATGATACATACGAAATTAAAGTGCTTTCAGTGCCAAAACGAGTTTCTAGTAGGTTGGAAAGCATTAGGTAGGTTCTGATCTTGATTTGAACAATACATTTGCCAAGATATTACTCTTGAATAATTCTGGATATA